CTAGCCGCCGTCTAACGGCAGAGAGGTGGACAACGTCAGTGGACTGGCTACTCGTACCTCAGCTCGCGGCAGTGCACGCTCAGAGACGAGCCGCCCGTACCCCAGCTGGCGGCAGTGCACTCAGTGACCAGCTGATGGTGTCACCAGGTAAAACGCGCGCCTGGCAGCCACACAACGTCATCTCAGTCCACTGCTGGAGACGAGAACATCGTGGGAACAGCAGACAGGAGGGCACAAACTTTAATCAATAATACATAGAGAGAAGGGCGGCAACTCAGCTGACAAGAAAGACCTCCAACACTGCCGACCCTAGTTACACACCGCCACCGCCAGGTGGCGGCCCGCGCGGCCGACGCCGCTCATCTAAGCTTAGTCCGACACTCGTCGGCACAGTCACCGCGAACGTCACGCCGCCGCCGGCAGGGGTGGGCCGCACCAGAGCGTCGTCGACGTCGTCGTCGGAGTCGCTGTCGTCGGACCAGCGGCCGGGCTGCGGCCGGCCGTAGCCGCGGATCACCAGGTAGCGCTCGATCGCCTCCACCGGCGCCAGCGGGTCCACTTTGACCGGGCCGTGCCGCCACTGGCGCAGGCTGCCGCCGTCCGTTACCCGCTTGCAGGTTACACTGGGGAGGGGCGCGGTGAGTGACGGCAGGGCCACGCCGCTGGGCCCGCAGGCGGAGTCGTACACATCTCACAGACCGAGCCGACTTCAGCCACTACGCTGGTGGTGAGCTAGCGTAGGGTGGCAGCAGTACGTATTCTGGCATGGCTATTCCAGGAAAATTCCACGATCACGTGACAGCGGTTCTGGCACATTATTTGGAAAATGCATATATCGGGACGACGTGATTGGACAAGCAATCCACACGGTAGTCAGCTCCGTGGGAAACAGGAAATCACATACGACTGGAGGTGCAAATCATCACCGTGCCATCTGCGTGACGTCAGTGGTCATCACCTTCAGCTGGTGTTCGTTAAAGTAGCGGAGCGCACAGCGCCGGACAGTCCTCCAGTGACGTCATACGTCTTGACGGACAGCTGCTCCTGCTGGGCGAGGCAGAGGCGTTCAGCTTGGCAACAAGCGCGGCCAGCGGCGCCGCGGCGTCGGCCGCCGGCAGCCAGCGCTCGGCCGCGCGTCTCGACTGGCGGACAAACCGGCCAGCGCATGCAGGAAGGCGCGCAGCCGGCGGCGGCGGTCGGCACCGGCGCCGGCTGTCAGCAGACCGGTCAGCCGACGCACCAGGCCGCCGTGCAGCAGCTCGAACGGCGAGAGGTCGGCGGCCAGCAGCAGGGCGGCGAGCTCGCGCAGCGCCGGCGCGCAGCGGCCGTCGGGCGCCGCCAGCTGGCGCAGCGCGCTCCTCCAGCAGCGCCAGCGCCGTCGAGCGGCCGCCGGCGTCGTCGGCCAGGTGGCGCTCCAGGAAGAGGCGCGCCCGCTGCCGCAGCCAGGCGCGCACGCGCTCCTGGCGGGCGGCGGAGGCGCTGGTGTCGCCTGACCGGCCCTCCTGAAACAGGCCCAGGCCAGTCAGGCCGGGGACGGTTTTAGAGTGACATGGCTGGTGAAAACATTTTGCTACCCCGCGGTGCTGGTGGTCATTGTCATGACATGGTAATGTATAAGGCTCGCAAGGGATATTATAAAGTAACTACTGCATTTGTGGGCATTGAGTATTGTACAACCGGTTGTAGTTCGGGGAATGAATGGTCCCGTGTGTACAAGAGATCGGTGTATTTTTCCCAGATCCCTGGTCCGGGCGTTGAAAACTTTATTTAAACGGCGTAAGCATTGTTGATAGTTTGACGCGATAATTAAACCGAACAGGGTGTCGCAGTAGAGTCGGTTCCAGCACCAGTGCTCTGTACCTTGAACCCGGAGAAACGGGGATAAACGCGCTGTAATCAGTTGTATTAAGGCGGGCATCGTGGCAGAGAAGAGATGGTCAAGGCTATCCGCGGGCGCCGATAAATGTAAGTATCTGCCGTATACAATGTGTATGTGACTGCATGCGTAGGCATAGGCGCTTATCCGGCGTGCGACCGACCGTTTTCGCAGTAAGACGCCATTTTCTAACTCGACCCTAAGACCCAGCAAAAACAAAACAAATCGTGACAGGGGCAAACAAGAGGGGAGAGGGACGGCGTTTAAGACAATGGGATCACCTTGAGCGAGCCTCTGTGTCCGTGAGGTGACCTGCCCCAGCGTGAAGGGACAGCGTTTAAGACAATGGGATCACCTTGAGCGAGCCCCTGTGTCCGTGAGGTGAGCTGGAGCTGGCTCGGCCCCAGCGTGACGGCTGAGGCTGGCCAGCAGGGAGGCCTGGAATCGGCCGCCTCCTCCGCCGCAGCCGCCCAGAGACTTGCTGCGACCGCCGCCGACGGGAGCGCGGCCGCAGCCGGCGCCGCCTGGAACACGGCCAGCGGTGACGCAGCCCACACACAAGGCCGCTCGCTCCGTTGATCTCTTTTGATGCTCGATGGCGAAATTACCGTTACAGGCAGCGTGTGCCGACCACAGAGGACGGATCAGACTGAACCCGGACTGAAGACGGATCAGACTGAACCCGGACTGAAGACGGATCAGACTGAACCCGGACTGAAGACGGATCAGACTGAATGGATGAAACCCCTGACTGAGAACCCTTGGGCTCGGCCCCAGTGAAGGCAGGAGCTCAGAGACACTGCACTGTGGTATATGCGGCATCATGAACATAGTTCCCATCATGGGACAAAAAAGGCCAGCCATACTAAAGAGGCAGAGATAGTGCGAGCCATCCAAAAGCTACATCAAAACACAAAACACGTTAACACCACATCTTGACGAAGCTGCACCAGCATTCAGGTCATATCAATGGTTACGGCGAAACAAAGCTTGGTGGTTACTTCCACCGGTGAACTGGTACAAGAGCCGGCGCGAAGTGACCAACACCAGACGGTATTAAGCTAACCTGTCTGGTCGGCATCTGTCCCTGAGTGGGCGTCTCCGGCAAATGAAGCCTCTTCGCGGCTGTTCCTCTGAGCGGCGAGACTGCCGCGGCGAGAGGACCTCCTCCGCTTCAGTAACGTCCCGCAGACTCCTGCCAACCGCACGCTCCCCGTCAGACGCAGCGGGGGCGGGCCGGGACTCGCAAACAGACACTTATGGCATGAAGTCACACCTGCACTGGCGACCAGAAGCCAAACGGAGGGTAGCGTGCCAATATCGACCAGCTGAGCGAAATCTGCCCCATTGGCTTATGACCGGTTGGCTTATGATTGGCTGCCTTTTGTGTGCAGTGTTTATTTCTGTCCTCTAAGGGCAAGACAATTTTGCAGCACCTGCTGGGACGGCTAAATCGCCCCGAGCCCCGGGGCCGCGGGGTTTCGGCCCGCGGAGGTGGCGCCACTCACATGTCGGTGGACGTCTCGCCAACCTGGGCCGGGCGTGCGGTCCTGCTGCCGACTCCCTCCAGAGGGTCGTCCCCGGCCGCCAGACACGTCATGTGGTGCACCACCCCTGCGGGGTTAGGGGAATCGTCACTACTCGAACCTGGGGATGATGAGCCACGCAGAATACTCACGGCAACCCTTCGCGCGATGATGGGTGCAGCCGAGGAAAACTAGAACAACAAATGGTTACCGCCGCATAAGACAGAATGTCGGCGTAAATGTAATGCCCAGCCTGAATCCAGCCCCTCTCATGCAATAAAGCCAACACAGGAACCATCCTGGGCGGCGAATGCGAGCTATGTGGCCAGCGGCAGGAGGCATCACGGATGAGAAGCACCTACCCTCTCTTTTGTAGTGCACCCTGCACAGGTCTGGCAGCTTCTGCATCAGGGTCTCTGACAGTTGGACTCCGGCCACCACCATCTTCACATCCGTCGAGGACAGCAAGCCGGCCAGGTGCACCGACATCTCCTGCATCTCGATTATTTCCTATGGAATAAGGACAGATGTGGTCAGCCCAGCGCCGAAGCTTTACGAAGTAATCTGGAGACCCAGGGTGTTCCGAGAGAAACAAAGAGGTTTTGTTTTGGTTCGCATCAAGGGAATGACACTGCATCGCCTTCTTCGCGCCCACATTTAGCATAACACACTGAACGGTTCAAAACACTATCAGCTTGGAAAATCAGCTGACTGCTTTTCCCGCACAAAACCACACGCATCCAACATGCATGCCTCAAAACCGAACAAAGCAGCGCCATCAAAATGCCGTGTTTGGGAAAAGAGTGCATTCAAGTTCTTTCTCGTAACAAAACACAAGTACACGCTCAGCGTAGTATGTCACACATGTCAGAATGTTGATTGCGGCCGAGCGGACAGGCAGTGTGGCGTGGGGTGGATCCGCCAGCCCGATCGAACGCCCTCGCCGATCCATAATCGCGTCCGACACGACAACGGGACACGTCTGCTACAAAAAGGCCGCGGCCGCCTCAGTTTGACCTACTTCCGCCAATGTGCGGCCGGCAAAAACTGCCGGCGGGCTTACCAACTGGGTCAGTTAGCCGGGGCGGGAGCACTGCGGAGGTGGAGGCTTTGCAGGACGAATCGGAGGCCACGGGGGCCACTAGAGGTCCACGTGGTCATAATTTCCCTGACTTAACCTACCCACTTCCCACAGAGCTGTGTCCGTATCCACCCGCTACCTGCTGCTTATCAGTTTTGTCCGCGCGTTAACCACTCATTTACATCTTTTTTAGTACATTTTAAGTGGAGTATGGGCGAGTTCCACGACACTCTACACCCAGCATTCTCTTTCGCGTAGATCATTGCAAAAGGAGTATCAGTGTGAATCGGGCTGAGTATGGAAAAACAAGTGCTGACAGTAACATGCCATGTATTTTTTGAAGCACCTATCCGACATTTTGTGATTGTCTTACCCACAACCGTACACATACTGCATATTTTTCCAACCAGCCGGTTATCCAGTCCATATGATTGCCCATGGACTTGCCCAACCCGTGCAGGCCGCCAGAGGTCACTAGTCCTACGAAGGAATCAGAGTCTGCGGGTGAATCTCCACCCCACAGCGAACGTGCAAAGGACACATGTCATCTCAGCTTGAATTGAAAGGTTGCATGGAAAACATGTCCCATACGACTCAACAGAAATGGCAAAATAACAGGCGGCTGCGTTACGGCGGTCGGTTTCTGGTTGCTCCCAATGTGCTACACTCAGGTAATTATATCCACCGCGTATGAGCTCCCGCAATGCGACTGGTCGTGGGGCTAAGCAATACTTTCGTGGTCGACTAAATCTCGCTTCAAAACTATCAGCGATGTCTTGGATCTCGGTACACATCCTTGTTCGACATACCATGGACGCTTTTGAAGGCTATAACATTCTACGATGTTGTCTCCTATGTCTGTGGTATTGGGAACTTAATTAAATAAACATGATAGTGGTTTCATAAAAGCATGAAAACAAACACTTCATAGACGTTTTCAGCCTGACGAGTCGACGACAATCGAACTCCCGACGACCCGTCTTCAGAAGTTCACGAGTGCAGTGTTCTAACCGTAAGGCCACCACGCCGGCATGACCCGCGTGAACAGCAACAGCGCCCGCCAGGCCGCCCTCATGGCCAACCACAGCACCTGCCCCCCCTCCCCTCACCTTGAGGCCGTCGGCGCTGGCCGAGCACACGAGCCGCAGCAGGGCGCGCAGACAGGCGTGGCGCACGCCAGGGCCGGCGCCGGCGCCGTACACGCGCAGCAGCAGCGGCAGCCAGTCGGCGCGCAGCGTGGCGAGGCGCGGGTCGGCGCGGCGCACCGCCCGAGAGCGCGATGGCAGGTTGGCCAGCTCGGGCCGCGACGGGTCCCGACTGCCGTCTGAGCGGGCCGCCGCCTGCCGGGGAGGGCGGGTCAGGTGGGAAGGAGGCGTTAGCCGGGGAGGGACACGTAAGGCGGGGAGAGACACGTTAGTTAGACAGGGAGAGCTGAGGAGGGACACGTTAGTTGAGGGGGGGGGGGGGGGGCAGCTTGGGAGGGACACGTTAGTCAGGGAGGGATACTCCAGCCGGGGAGGGACACGCCAGTCCGGAGGGATACCATAGTTAGGGGGGCAGTTGGGGAGGGACACGTCAGCCGGAAAGGGACATGTCAGTCGAGAAGGGACACGTCAGTCGAGGAGGGACACATCAGCTGGGGAGGGACACGTCAGCCGGGGAAAGACATGTCAGTCGGGAGGGAGACGTCAGTCACGGAGAAATAGCTGGGGAGGGACACGTTAGCCGGGGGAGGACAACTCAGTCGGTGAGGGACACGTCAGCCAGGAGAGGAGGACGCGCGTCGGCCGGGAGACATCTAGGAGGAAGGACGCATCACATGGGGGTGACCCGACGCTGCGCGAGCAGTGGTCTTAACGACCTTTCACGATGGGCGATAGGAGTGAGTATCGAGAGTGTACACTCATGGACAAACAAGGTTGCAGTAATCACCATATCAGTCCTAAAAATAATCGGAGCGGTTGCAACGCACAAAACTTGCTTACGGAGGGTAAATGAACTTAGCGTAACTGCAATAACACAATTCGGCGGCAGTGCAGTGCATGGTTTTGAAGTGAACGGGCAACGGTAAGGCACAGCATGCTTGACAGTTATGACATCCCGCGAGATTTTGGCCTGCTGGTGGGTCTAAATCTATCACCTTTCATCTCAAAGCGTCCTTTTCGACACCACTATGTTTGGGAACCGTTATGCATGCATCCTAAAGCAAACTTCTGCGAAACCAAAGCGCACATGCACCGGATGTGTCACCTGTATCGCAGCACTGTCTGCCTCAGAGAAGTTGTGCCAACTTCCCTCATCGTCCTGCCACTGCCATACAACGCTGTCCTGTGAAGAACATCGCAGCCATATCAGGGACATTCTTGGACACGCGTGCGAAACGCGTAATGCACTTTGCAGATACAGAAAAGTTCTCTCAGCTGCAGTGTTTCGGAAGGCTTAAGAGATAGTGGAAATTACGAAGGTACATGATACCGGCCGCATACCAAAGGCCTACAGAGCCCAGCTGAGGGTGGGTAGCGTGTCGCATCGGCCTGTTCTCGGCAGACGTGCCCACCTGTTCTTAGCAGACGTACCCGCAGGTTTGCAACGGCCTAACCGGCCTGTTCTCAGTGGCCTCACCCGCCTATTCTCAATGGGCTTAACCGCCCGATCTTAACAACCGTATCTGCCTGTTCTCAACAACCATACCTGCCTGGTCTAGACGGTCTTGCCCGCCTGTTCTCAGAGGCCGTAGCGGCCTGTTCTCAGCGGCCTAACCCGCTTGTCCTCCGCGGCCTTACCTACCTGTCCTCAGCGGCCTTACCCGCCTGTTCTCAGCAGCCGAACCCGCCTGTTCTCAGCAGCCGTACCCGCCCTGGTCTTATCAGCCGAACCCGCCCTGGTCTCAGCGGTCGTACCCGCCCTGGTCTCAGCGGCCGTACCCGCCTGTTTTCAATAGCCGTACCGACCCTGTTCTCAGCGGCCGTACCCGGCCTGGTCTCAGCAGCCGTACCCGCTTGTCCTCAGCTGCCGCATCCGCCTGTTCTCAGCAGCCGTACCGGCCCTGTTCTCAGCGGCCGTGCCCTCCTGTTCTCAGTGGCCGTACCCGGTCGTGAGAGCTGGTCGGTCGCGGCGGAACCCTGCTGAGCCACTGATCGACGTCGAACAGTCCAGCCGCCGGCAGCGCCGGCAGCATCTCAGCCAGCAGGCAGACCAGCGCGTACACCTCCTCCGAGTTCCGCGACTGCTGCGCCATCTGTGAGGCGCACCGCCGCGGCGGAGGCGGTCAGTCAGGCCTCCCGGCTAGGAGCCGGCGTACCCACCAGACAGCACACCATACATGGTCACGATCCCGACCATGACGTCACTGATGCTAGCACGATCCCCGCAGACAGATGGTAGCAAAAACCACACGGTTTCATACAGCGGAAGAGAGGCTAGTAAGGGTATGAGTTTGCCACTTTGGTGGTTACATATGACAATACACATTTGAGGCCAACCAGGCACACACCGTTTCCGTGTCTTCCATTGGCAGGGCATACACCTGTTCCGTTTCTCCCGTCACCAGCTTGCTCATCTGACTCGTAGTTACCGTCACCCTGGTACATACCTGTTGCTTATCTCCCTTCAGTCTGAGAGCCTGCTACACACTTGTTCCTTAATCCAATCAGCAGGATGCACGCCACTTCTGTGTCTCTCGTTAACAAGTACAGCCCTGTTCTGTACCTGCCGCCAGCCGGGTACACACCTGCTCCGTGTCTCCGGATAGGAGCGTACGCAGCGTCTCGGCCATGTTCTCGGAGAGCAGGCGGACGGCGATGTCCGGGCAGTGGCTGCAGAGCATGCGCAGCATGCGCGCCACCTCGCAGAAGGTGGAGCTGCCGATCACGGCCGGGGACGCCACCAGCTGCCGAACGCGTCACGGTCATCATCACCATCATCACGACCAGCACGGTCACGGTCATCATCACCATCATCGCGACCAGCATGGTCACGGTCATCATCACCATCACCACGACCAGCACGGTTACGGTCGCGGCGCGTCATCACAGCGGGTAGCGCGCATGCTGAGACATCCCCAAGATGATGGTGCGAGTCTGTCTAAAATAGTGGTCGTCCTGAGCGCAAACTGAGCCTGGTATGCCGTCGTGGAGTAACTGCGACGATCACCGGTGACCAAGGAATTGAATTGTAGCAAACACTCCATGACTATGTGCACACACACGTATGTGTTAAATGACATCACTGTTGGTTAAGCTCTGTCCTGCATGAGCCCTTGCATTTTATAATCCAAAACACTTCGTAACAAGGATAGAACTGACAAAGCTTGCTACAAAGCTTGCAGAGCTCTCAACAAGCTTGAGACCTGTTGCAAAGGCACCCTTTGGCTACCAATGATGGCTGTTTACTGCTCACCAGCTGCTGGACGTTGATGAGCGCTCCGCTGTCGGCGATCGCCTGTACTTTGAGCGGGTCCGTCTTGAAGGTCTCGGCGAGCCGACAGAACACCAGGCAGGCGGCCTCAGCAACTTTCTGGTCCTGAAACGAGCTGAACCTGCGGGTACCGCTCAACATGGGCGCACAGCTGATGTTCACGTGAATAACAGTCAGACCGAGGACCCGTTGTATCCTCCTTAAACGTGTATTGTAACTGCATTGTATAACAGCGGCATAACAGTGATAATTAAGAAACATGATATCACAGTATTCCTTTACTAGTTGCCAGTAGGTTGACGTTTGCAATATTCTGTGCATCCCCAGGACCACTTGCGAAGATTTTACACATGCCACCAGGCAGGAGACCCTGCAGCCGAGCTGGAGCTCAGGTCGGCCGACTCCGCCACGATCCGCGACGCTGACTGCGACTGGCACAGCGGCCGAGTCTGCCATGACCTGCGCCCCTGACTGTGACTGGCACAGCGGCCGCCCGCCGGCCGGCTGCCGCCTCGGCGGCGCCGGACGCCTCCCACCTCGTGAGCGAGCCGCCTGGCCAGCGGTGCCAGGTGGTCGCTGATGCGGTGGAACTCGGCCGGCGTCAGCGAGAGGCAGCAGTTGGCTGTCACGGATAGCGCCGACCGCTGCGCCGCCACCGAGAAGAAGTCGATGAAGGCCAGGCAGGAGGCGACGCCACCCTGCCAGAGGGCGGCGGACAGCGTCAGTAGCTGCTTTGACGCCTTGCCGGCCACTTGCAGTCCCTCACAGGACACCCGCTGCGCCGCTCGGAACGGCAGGAGGTCACACCGCAACTGACGGCTGGGTTTTGATGTAAACCACGTCGATATGGTCGTTAAAATTTAAAAGGATGGATGCTGCCTTCGGTGGGTTGAACGTTGCTCCTCCCCCCCCCCCCCCCCCCCCCCCCCCCCCCCTCCTCCCGTTACAACTGCTTCTCTTCTCATAAATATAGGAGTTATGCAGTCATGGCCCATAAACACCGGCGTTCCTCAGCTCTACAATAGGCCATGAGAGGCAGTAGAGTATCGCAATATTTCCTTCTGTTCTATTTCGAGAAGTAATCGCCCGAAGCGTACTGCTGAGGTTGGAAGTAGATCGCAATCATGAACATTTAGAAGGCATGCTACATGCGGCCAGGAGCCACCATCTGCGTGGTGTCACCACTGGTTCGCGTAAGATCCTGTCAAGCAGTCACCAGCAACATTTCCTCTACACTGATATCCGCTGGCATATAGTTCGCGACCCCCCCCCCCCCCCCCCGATACAAGTAATCATCAAGTAACGCGCGGCCCAGCGCTACTGACGTCACAGCGATGGCACGGTGATCCTCGCTGCATGGCATTCACCATCCCGAAAATCCCCCAGTCACACTCGGTGGCAGCTGCACAGTGATCCCCAGGTGCACCTCCTCCAATGTCAATCGGTTCGATATGTCATGGTGATGCCTGTGCTACGCAAGGCTCCACCCGTTTCAGTGATGTTCTCTCAATACCCAGGCCCTCTAAGTGAACCCAGTGACGCCCGACACTGGCTATCCCAGCTTCTCCAGTGTCTTTGAAACCCTGCCGCTCCAGCGGTACCCAGTGACACCAAATCTTTGGCTTTTCGTTGATCACCTGGTGTATCTCAGTCTCTGTCTCTGCCGTCGTTCCAGTGATACCCAGTAACAACCGGTCCCTTCTACCACAAGAATTCCTGTGATAAACCGCCTCTGCTGACTCAGTGAATCGTCTCTGGCCGCTCACCGCCTGCAGCACTCCGTTGCTGTGCCGGCGACTGATGAGGTCGAGGGCCACCAGTGCCTGCTCTGCCACGTCCATGCAGGAGATCCGCTGTAGCTTGCGCAGCAGCGCCGGTAGCGCCGCCACCGCCGTCGCCGAGCTGTGCGGCAGCGTCTCCAGCAGGTACGTCAGCGTGCGGCATGCTTGGTTCATCTGGCGACGACGAGTCGACAGGTGTCACATTACGGCGGAGGAGTCTGAACACAAGACCGGAGAAAGACACGACCGGTTCATTGAGGTCGTGGTGGGAGACAGCTGAAGTGGCGATTTATTCAGTGTTATGTTCAGCCACGAGTTCCAGTGTCTCTGAAAACACGTCAGATGGTAAATTATGGCACGAGGATATCAAACATGACATCTGTTTTGCAATAGCATGTGACCTTCAAGGTCAAGAGCAAGGTCAAAAGACGGGAAACCCTATGTCACCAAAAAGTACCGGTTGATTTCAACTTTTCAGACATCAGAATATTCACCAGCGCATGAACTATAATCCGCCAAAAAGTCCTGACCTCTGAATGTCACCCTTCAATGTTAAACTCATGCTCAAATGACATTAAATGCCATATCATCGAAAAAATATCGATTTGAGGCCGATTTAATAAGGCCGATTTAGACTTTTCAGGCACGCAATATTCACAGGCGCAAAAACTTACGTCCGTCAAAGTGTCCCGAACTTTCAAGGTTACATTTTAAGATCAAAATCAGGCTCAGGGGACAAGAAAATCTATGTCCTCATCAATACCGGCTTATTGCACCTTTCAAGCATTATAATTTTTACCAGTGCATGAACTACGTGACCTTAAAAAGTCAGAACTTTCTGACGGACGCTAGCTCTTACGTTTGTGAATATTCTTATGCTCGAAAAGATGAAATTCACAGGTAAGTTTTTGGTGATATGGAATTTCCGCCATTTTTGCCTCAGTTTGACTTTGAAGGAGCAGCCTTTAGAGGTTACCTGTTAGATGAACGCTAGTTTTTTAAAGCATTTTTACGCCTTTTTAAGTCGAAACTGGACGGCAATTTTTGATGATGTAAAGTTTTTCGTCCTTTGAGCGTCAATTTGACGTTCAAATGTAATGATCAGAGGTCAGAAGGTTTTGACGAGCGCTTGCTCGTTTTGTGGTGAATATTCTGATCCTTGAAAGTGTAAAACCGGCCATTAATTGTTTGTGATATAGAGTTAGATGTTCTTTGTCCTTGTTTTTTACCTTTAAGATCGCATGATATTGCAAAACAAATGCTACGTTTAATGTTCTTGTGTCATAACTGACTACCTGGCGTGTTTTAGGAGACATCGAAGCTCATCGCGAAATAAATCGCCGAATAAATCGCCAACTTCACGGATCTGAGAACATTATCGATGGCTGGCGAAGCGATCGACAAACTTGAGGCAGATGAGACTTGTGAGATGCGAAGGAGTATGTCAAAATCTCCTGTTGGTAAACAAGGGTGAGGGTCTTCTCAGCATGCGCTTTTGTGACTGGCATGCAGAGCACAGGAACAGGGGCATTCATGTGCAAAGCTTTGAAACAGTACACAACTTCGGGGAGATGATAGGCATTATGCACGCTTGAACAGCGAATGATAGGCAATATAACTGAGGGACAAGTCCAGGTGTGAGACAGGCAAAGTTTGTAATGACAGACCGGCTCACCACATCGAAGTTGTGATCCATCTGTATGAGTCTAATCAGCGGCGGTATGACTTTGCTGACTGGGAAGGTGGCCAGTGTGTCTTCGTTGCCCATCACTAGCAGCTGGCCCAGCTCTATCACTGCCTGAAGCTGTTGGTTCTCATCGCCTGACGCCTGCAGGCCTTGAAGCAGCTGCTGGATCTTGCAGCCTGCCGCGGCACAAGTGAATTCCATTTTCTTGGCAAAAAATACAAAACAGACAAGAGAAGCTAAGTGTAATCACCGTTTCGGGCACAAAGCCCGTCGTGCCGCGACATCGGTTTCAACCTTGAAGCATGTGATGATTTGCAATGTTCCACTGCCAAGTCGTGACTCATCACCCCTGTGCTCATTCCGATCCCTACGCAGTTACGCAATACGCGAAGTCCGCCAAACGGCGTATGGAGCGGAGCGGGAGAACACAGCTTTCACACATCCGCACCTCTCCCGACGTTGTAACAAGGACCGCCGCCTACCACACGTACCGCGGCCGTCCGGGGCATTGCTGAGCATGTGCTGCACGCGCGGGCCCAGTTGGCCGAACAAGTGCGGCGGTACGCCGCGCGCCTCCAGCAGCTCCTGGAGCCGCACCAGCTCGCCCTCGTCGTCGGCGGCGGCGGCCCGCGCGCCGTCGGCGCCGCCGGGCTCGTGGGGTCGCGACCCCGCGCCGCCCGCGGTCACGAAGTCGGGCGCCGGCAGCTTGCCGGCCGGTCGTGAGCCGCGCCGTCCGCTACCGGGCGGACAAAGGGAGCCGTTAGCGACCGAGACTCGGACACGCCCTCAGCCAAGGCCGGTGGAGGCGGACCGCCGCGAACAAGGGTCGACGCGTCAACAAACACGCGCCGGCCGTGCTGAGCCGGAGGACTTACCGGGAGTGATGTGACAAAGAGCGCGTCCAGAGGCTGTCGCGAGAGCAGAAGCGTGAAGAGCAGCGAGGGGCATCATGTGCGCGACAGCCAGCAGCTGACAACCCCGGTTTGATGTCAAGTGTGATAGTGTCTGAACCCACACATTATAATAATGGGACGTTTGCCATGACCCACTAACCGGTGTCTTATCAACACTAAGAAATTCTGGGGCGCGCCATCTCACCAGCCAGGATTAATGTCGCCCGACATTGGCGTTATGTTTAGGTGATGGGTTTGTTAATTTCCAAATGTCCCCACATTACCTTTTTCCATTGTCATGCCATGGTAACACATTCACCACCCACACATTGGAGGCGTCACTGCGAAGTATATTAGCCATGCCTCGATCTGCCATGTTGTGACTTAATGTTTCCTGCGGCTAGCTAATAGTTTTGTTTGTCCATTGGCAGAAAGAGACATCCTGCTCAAGAAATACGAGCGTACGTTGCGGCAGTTTTTGACACTTTTTCATGCAGGTGGTAGCTACGTTTGCTCAAAAGTAAAAGATGTTTAATCAGTTCCTTCTCATTCATTTTAGACATTATTCTGCACAGAACAAAATAACTATAAAGGTTTTCTGAAAATATAAACGCAGTAATTATAAGCCTAGCACTTGGGCATATCCACAAAGCGGAAGGAGCACCCGGACCGAGTTGCACCTGGTTTGAACATCACCCTTTATCAGACCGGGTTAAGTTGTGTGGGTCAGGCTGGGTTCAGTCGGGGTCGCCTGTGGCTGACGGCGCCCGGCTGGGTCCCACTGGGTGCTGTGTGTTAAAGTTTAGTCGTGCTGAGTTGGTTTAGGGAAGGCTCGTTCGATTTAATGCCGGTCGTTTAGACAATTGAAGCAATAGTGATTTTAATGTCATACAAAAAATGTCTAAGCCTGACTCCTCGAGTTGTCAATTAGGCTTTAGACGGAGGATCAGAGGTCTATATTAGACGAGGACGTGTATGAAGTCGTGGCATGTGGCACGAGACTCAGGACGCGAGCTCGGACTTGTACCTGACCTCTGACGACTCAGGGACAGACTCGAACTCGCATGCAGTATAACTAAGCCTAAAACACAATATTACTAAAGACGCACTACCCCCCCCCCCCCCCTTAATTCCCCCGTTCGTAACGCCTCCCCTGCAACAATCTAACCTTGACTACAGTTGGTTGGAAGAGGATGATGACGTCATCGGGCCTCACCATACTTTCCAGATAGTTATGGGCGCCTTTTGATACACCTGACTTACCTGTCACCTGGCATCTTACATTCAAACTGATATCGAGCTACATCACGACAAAAAGTTGTACGATATCATACCATGACATCTGAAGGTGACACCATGACATTCGTCATGACATACGATTACCTGATAACGGCAGAGCCGAAAAGTCGTTCAGTTACCGGGACATGTCGTTACAGCTATCCGGTAGTCTCGGGAAGACATTTACAAAGCCCGCGTTTGGCATGCTTGGATCTGCTTTACAATCATTTTAATTCGTGAAGCACTTCACACGGCCACAAACGCTTCCATTGCTGCACAGCTCAAACACCCAAACCTCGTGCTTGTAATACAAATGCAGCCGCCCAAATGATGTACTCCCATATCAGTGACGTCTGAATCCGTACTTGGCATTCCCAGCCTGTTCATGGACGCTGGCTTTGCATCCCTGATGGTCCCACGTATGCCAGCACATCAGCTGAATAACACTGAGGGTATTCAACGTGTCAATCTAGGCTTTGATACCGCCACCAGTTTATTATGTTTCCCTCCATGTCGAGGAAACGTAACGCCTTATAGGAGAGCTTCGGACTCCTGCGGCGACGACCCCCGGACACAGTGAGTTTGCCCCCCGCTGAGAGCCGAGACCAGAGCTCTAACCTCTATACCGACGGTGCGACAAGTCAGGAGCAATTTGCTCATTTCAACCCTATTATGTTACGCCACTTGCTTGATTCGCATCCCGCTATGTACGTAATGCACTCGCGCCTACCCCACTCAAGTCCGCCTGGGAACGTCAGGCGATTTCTTCCGTGACGCGCGCCCGCCGCGCGTGCGGCGGGTCAGCTGACGGCGGCTGAGCGGCCGCCGCCACCTGGTCGGCGGCCCCGGCTACCGGCGCACACACACACACACATCCGCCCGGCCTTCAGCGGTCCGCCCTCCGCCAGTCCGGCCATAAAGCCGCCAGGGCCGCCCGGTGCGGCGGCACGCACTCACCAGCAGCGGCAGCAGCAGCCGCAGCAGCACTGCCGGCACCGGCCGCCGCCGCCCTCCATCGCCCGCCGACGACTGGCGCTGCCGCACGCCGGCGCCGGCCGCCGTCGGCGCCGACGGCGGCCGCGCGCCGCGCGCCAACAAAGGCCGGCCGCGGGGTTCACACCGGCCACACGCGCAGCGACGCGGCCAATCGATGCTCAACGCACGCGGCGGCCTCAAACGGCCCCGACGTGACGCGTCTCGAGCGGGCTGGGCTCGCCCCAGAACGCGGCTGAACGCGTGCAGAGGACGCGGTGGATGCGTGGCGCCCGCGGCCGCTGGAGCGGACACGGCAACGACCCGCCGGCTGCGTGGTGCCTCCGGCAGGTGGAGAGGACGCGGCAGCTGCACGGTGTCTGCGCGACACTCGCAGCTGGTGGAGATAGGAGCACGACACCGGTGCAGCCCCCGCGGCGATTCGCTGGTCGTTTTGGGGCTGTAATGTGGATTTACGTCTTCTTCGATTGGCTGGAAATGGGGCAGAGTGTGACCGTGGTCTGGCATGCACGTCAGGCAGCCCTCGAATTGGAACTTCGGCTTAGCAAAGGCTGTCACGTTCAGGGGCGTAGTAGTGTCGAACGAGATGGGGGGAAAGGGCCACTGAACGGTGAAAAAGACGCTACCCACTACGAGATTACTCCAACAACGGGTTTCTCCACGGCTTTGGCCCATTTTCTTCTCAAAGATGCTGTGCTGAAGCTCAAGCTGAAGAGGAAGGGGGGGGGGGGGGGGCTCCAGTCCTTTTCCCTCAACTGGATATGAAACTATAACCCCGGTCACGTTTTATGATCAATTCGTCGTTAGGGGTCGTCCATCAATTAAGTTGCAGAGGAGCGGTGGTTGGTTTTTGATGGAGCGTAACGGAAGAGCAGCAAGGAAAGCGGAGGAGACCTAGGACGGCGAACGTTACGCTCGGATATGTTCACAAATTATGCCAACAGCTTTTAAATAAACACGAAACCTTGCAGCGAAATACTGTTGGCTTTCTCTCATGACGTGGAACAGATCCGTTATTTGTGTTGCCTTTCCATTTCATTTTGGGGACAAGCGGATGTTACATTCTATATGGCCATACACATATATATATATATATATATATATATATATATATATATATATATATATCAATAACCCAGCGCACCCAGTGCATAATCAGGGGAGGGGTTGAAAATCGCCATGAATGCAAAGTGTTACTCATGGACGGCATCAGTGTCGTGCCTCTCAACGACAGGCAATGAAGCATCCCATTCGCCTGCACCCGCTGGCATTGTAATTGCTGGCTTAGTTGTCACATTTAAAAACACCTCATTAACTGCAGTTTGCTTACACGTCCAGCTCAGCAAAATAGGCTTCGCGTATTTACCGAGATGTATGTGCACCTACGCATGGACGTAACCACACCGCGAAGGTCACCGGGGCTCAATTCTGTTCTAGTGAAATTTCGTGAAACCAAAACAAAACAAAGGTTTTGATTTGCCCAAAAGCTGCTGGGATCCGGATCTCACGAACCCCAACTGTTGCCCGTGCTCCTGTGTCCAACTGAGATATTGTGCAGTGATTGCACCAGCACGTTGAGTGCAGGTGCAAAATCAAAATCGAGTGCAAAATCTAAATGAAGTGTCCAAGAATCACGAACTGGACGAAACTGATCATTATTCAATAGCAAGCGGTTTAGCTTTAAAGCAGATGTCCCTATTGATTTCCACCTTAGCGTATGCACATAGCCTCTCGAAATACTAGCGCAGGTCGCATTCTCCTCAATATCTGCTCTATCAGTCTGATTGTAGTGATTCTGATGATCAGCAGTTTAAAACTGCGTCGATCTGCTTCGGTGTGATTTGTAAGACGGGATGGTGGAGCTCAGCATCCCTAGACATACAGAACCGCATTGCAGTTCGAAATATTCACTATAGGTTGGGATCTATACAAATGGTGAAACGACAGCTATGTCAAATATCTTAATCTGTCCTTGGCCCGTCATATATTTTTTGAAGAATTTTTGCCATAAATCGACTTCCTGCGATTGCGAACTTATCAGCTCTCTCTCCACAATGGTGCGTGGCACCTGTCATCATTTGACCCATCCCATCCGTCATCATTTGACCCATCCCACCCGTCATCATTTGACCCGTGGTACCCGTCATCATTTGGCCCGTGGTACCCGTCATCATTTGGCCCGTGGTACACGTCATCATTTGGCCAGTGGTACCCGTCATCATTTGGTCCGCGGTACCCGTCATCATATGACCCGTGGCACCCGTAATCACTTGACCCATGGCACCCGTCACCACTTAACCCATGACACCCGTCACCACCTAACCCATGACACCCGTCATTCGTCACCCGTGCCGCCGTGCTGCAATATGCCCGTTGCGTCCACCTCTGCAGTCGTAGAACGCCATCAGAA